AACCAAAATAATTATGCTGAGTGTAAGAATCCAGGAAAGAGAGAGTATGTACATATAAATAATTCCACTCATATAAAAATTTTGAAAATGCAAACAACTTACAGTAATAGAGATCAGGTCAATGGTCATGTGGAGCTGGGAGGAGGGATTACGAAGTCGAATGAGTAAACTTTCAGTGACCATGAATGTATTCATCATCTTGATTGTGTTGATGGTCTCAGGAGTATATTGATGTGTCAAAACTTATAAAATGATACACTTTAAATATATGTACTTTATTATATTTCAATTATACCTCAATAGGACTGTTTCAAAATCTGTATTGATTTTTTAAAAAAGATACAGATATCAAAAGTCAAGAAAAAGTAAGTAAAGGGGCAATAAAATGAAACACTATAACTAATTAAAGTGACTAATAAAGTCATATATATATATATATATATATATCCATAATTATAATAAACATAAAAGGACTACACTCACCAATTTATGATGGAATATGCCAGATTGGGAAAACATCCAGTCCAACTGTATGTTATTTTATAGAGGGGCACCTAAATTATAAGGAGAAATATAAATTAAAAATAAAAAGATGTGAAAATTTAAGGTAAGTACTAATAAATAAAAACATTAGGGTGGTTATATTAATAGCTGATAAAATAAATTTTAAGGCAAAAAGCATCATTAGTGATAGTCACACCTAATGATAACAGGTTCAACTCACCATGAAGATAATAAATTCTAAGCAGGTATGCAACTAATAAAAGAGCCACAAAAACAAATAATGAAAAAAAAAACTGATGGAACTACTTGGGTAGACAGACAAAAGGAAATGAGGGAGAGTGAAATTTTACTTTTTTAAAAAAGGTATTTTTAAGTGCTTTATTATAGAAGACTTCAAGAATTTACAAAAAGTAGAGAGGATTGTAATAATGAAACTGTATATCCATCTCCCAGCTTCAACAACTCATGGGCTATCTTGTTTTCCACTTCTCACATCCCCTGCATTTTCAACAGAAACCCAGACATCGTATCATCTCATCTGTAAATAACTCAGCATGTATCTCCAAAAGATAAGGAATTATTTTTAAAAGAAACTACTAGGCTTCCATCACACAAAAAAATAATGAACCAGAGTTCAATTGATGTCATCCAATATCCAGTCAATGCACAATTGTCTGACTATCTTAATTTTTTTAAGTTTTCTTGGTTTGAATCAGAATTCAAATGTCCAGACATTCCTATTGGTTTACATATCATTTAAGTTTCTTTCAATATGTAAGTTCTTCATCTTTTCTCCCCTGTCAATTTTTATTTTATTATTTATTTATTTTATTTATTTTATTTTTTTTAGCTGAGCCATCCTGCCACCTGTTGGCAGCTCAGCGGCAGCTCAGCTCAGGCCGGGCATCAAACCGCTGTTGCTCAGAGCTCTCACTCTTGAGGGAGCTCTTAACCAACTGAGCCACTCCGCCAACCCCCCCCTTTCAATTTTTTTGAGAGAGGGCCCAGATTATATGTTCTGTAGTTTGCCATAGCCTGAATTTTGCTGTGTTCTGGTGGTATCTTTCACTATTTGAAAGGCTCTCTTTCCTTGGGTTCCGTGACATTGATTTCCTGCTGCTCTCCCGCCTGACCTCTCTTACTTTGTCTCTCTGCAGCAGCTTTGTCTCTTTTCTCTTGTCACCCGGAAATTTAAAGTTTCCAAGACTTCAGGCCTCTCCTGGTCCTACACCACCAGCTTTTAACCATAGGAAGGTCACAGACGTCCTCTGAGAATCTAATGACAGTGAAAAAAAAATCTCTTCTTAGGATAGGGCCGACACACGCCAACATACACGTGAATAGCATGCACGGGCAAGACGGCCACCAGAACCCCTGCAGCCACAGGCTCCCCCACAGGCCCTCCAGGACCCTGATCCCTACACACTCCTTAAATTCCAACCCAAGTCTCCTGCCTCCATCGCCACTGGTCAGCACACAACTCCCCGGTTTATCGCTCTGCTCCTTCCCCTCTTTACACCCACACACAAAGCCCCTTCTCACAGCTCTCATCAAGCGGACCAGCCCTAAAAAACAATCTTCTCATGCCTCCCCTTTCTTAGCCCCTCCTCTTCCCCGTGCCATAAGGAGAGGGAGCGAATCTCTGGTCCCCTGAACACACCGTACGCACCCACACTGTTCAACTTCTCTTCCGATGCCCTCTGCCTTCTGCACTTCGCTGCCCACCAAATACCTACTCATCTTTCCAAAGCCCCACCAGCGGGACAGGCAGTAGTCTCCTCTGTCACCACCCTTCTGTGTCTCCCTTTGAGGACACGACAGTGACCAATCTGCCGGCTGACACACAGGCACTAGCACACACCACCTCTACTGGCTGAATTAATGAAAGAATTCTTAAAGAGAACATAAAAGGAGAAAGAAAGGTCACAAAAAACAGAGGTCTGAACTGTGTTTCCCAAAAAGAACAGCTGACACTCAACAAACATGTAAAAAAATAAACATTAGAACCTTAAGAAAAAGGCTCTGAAATCCAAATTTCCTATACTACACAAATGAGTAATTTCTCCCTAAAAACATCAAACACCTCAAATTTGAGAGATGATGACTACTAAGTTAAAGAAATAGCAAAGGACCAAAAAAAAAAATTATGACCACTTTAATACCATTCATGTCCTGTACTGACAGACCTCCATGTGCTTTACAAGTATTCATAACTCAGTCTACTGAAAGGGACTTGAAGAAAAATACCAAGTATTTCCAAAGCCTTTTAGCAACATTTTTCTTTGGATGTAAAAACACATACCCCAAAACTTAGAGTTGTTTTTGTCCACAAATCGTCACTATACAGTTCCGGAAACACTGGCTCTGTTTCTAGGGCAGGAGGTGAGCCATTCGAATTCTTCTTTGGAGAAGGAGAAATACTGTGCCTGCGTGGAGACTCACGATGGCTGGAAAGGTCAAACCTTTGCACCCCTGAGGAAGAGTACACTCCCAAGATGGGGAAAGGAGCACGACTGCAAAATCAACAGAGGAGACAGGGTGTCACAGTGAACGACGTACGCTGGTGTCACACACTTTCCACTCACTCTGCTCAACATCCTGTGTACGGGTAGCACTGATGGCACAATCCCAGTCAGAAAAGCAATTTCTTCAAAAAGGAATAGCTACTGAAAGGGTTCGTGTTAATGCGTTTCACTACATGGTAAAGATTTAGAATGTGCATTGAAATTCATTCCTTTAAACTGTACATTAGTTCACCGTGTGCCACAGAAAATGAATTGCTTATGTCCTTCTAAAAGGTCTAAACAATGTTCCTGTATATTCAGACACAATACACACCAACAAAACTATGTTCCTTTGTCACTAGACAGATAGGTCGATGATTCAGAGGACACACAGAGAGAGGTAGGCAGACGAACAGACACAATTATAGACAGACAAAAACAAACGAAAAGCTGATGCAAATTAAGAGAAAAGAGGACTGAAATATACTTATGACAAATATTCATCAAACTGCTGCCACTGAAGTGGTAGAAATGAGGTAACCAGTCTTATGACAAGAATAGGCAGCCGTCCAATGGGACTTCTTGAAACAGGTAACACAGCAGGAGGCCTGGAAGTGTTAGGAAAAGCAACACAACTGGGATAATGGCTGTCTCCCCTCAAAAGTACCCAAGACCTGCCAACAGAAACTGTAAATCCCTCAAAATGAAGAGAAAGTTGGAAAAGCAGGTACCGCTGTCTTGGTCTAGCTTGGTCAAACAAGGAAACACTCCACGCTCGAGTCCCACTTCAGAGTCGCCATGTTGGAGATGGAAGGAGAGCCAGAGTGCTGAATGGGTGAGGAGGTGGGGCCGTGGAGGGAGGACTCCTTCTGGAAAGGCCAGCCCACGGGGCAGTCTCCGTTGGGGAGGCTTCGCAGGTGTGCTGGGAGGGAGCGCCTCGTGGACACGGTCCAGGGGTTGGCCCCTCATTCAGAGAAACAGTGTTCTCCTCCTTAAGTCAAAATGATCAGAAGGGGGAAGAAAGATAATTATCAGGTGAAAAGAGTTCACTTTCTCGTGATAATTCAGGGTAGATTCGAGTTATTAATTACATAATCTTTCTTTTTCTCCTAAGAAGCTCAATCGATTGCGCACAGAATTCCTCCAAAACCACGTGAAGGTTTTCAGGATTAACTAGCGACACTTGTGTTGATCCTTACATCTGTTTTCACTCTCTGGAGAACTCACACAGAATGCACACCATGACCTAATGTCATGGGTCATGACAATGGAGGGGTCAGTGTGGAGGAACACTATTTTCATCACATGATCTACAACGTATTGCACCCATGATGAACCAAAAACACCTTCAAGAGAAAATAGAAATGATCCGGTTTGGAGCACTGTATTTTCCAAGGCTGTTCTTTACAAAAAGACTTTTTGTCATTCTTAAAGATCAAGAGACACCAAGCCAAAGAAGAAATGAAACCCATTCATATATGAATCGATTAACCCTGAATTGGTAAGGAATTGACTTTGGGCATCAACTTCCTTAAAATACAAATGATAAGTCTGTTACCACTTTCGATTTCAATCCATGCAAGTAAATGTTCAAGATTTGTGCTGACTCACCATTAAATTTGTCAGCCACAGGCTCCTTCTGCAACCAACTGATTTCTAAATCGCAATCAACTAGTTTGCCGTGTTTGACTTCTTTACTGGTTCTTTTCATCCACGTCAAGTCTGTTCTCTCCAATAAGCATTCACACAGTGCTGAAAAGGACACCTGTTTCTGCTTTACTAGTGACACGTGCAAAATAAGGTTTTCCTTGTGATGTTAGCATCTACTGTTATAGTGCCATGAATTGATTTCCAGGGTCTCATTTGACGGCTTCCTTCATGCTTCCTTCTCAGGTATAATATTACAAAATACGAGTAGATATTTACTTCATAAAAATAAGAGGCACTTAATAAATTACTCAGCGTCCCACCATCTCAAAAGAGCCATTAGGAATGTATCAGGGAATTCACCTTCCTCTTTTTATCCTTCTTACGTTTTTACAAAATTAGAATCATGTTGCATTTAGTTGTAGATCTTTCTTAACATTAGAAATGAGCAATTTCTGAGGTCATGAAATAGGATTCAAAAACATGATCAATATGGCCGCATACTAGTCAATCACAGGCCCTAGCATGTCTCTTTAGGTTGTAATTGTTACCGATCAAATGGAGAATTACCAACACGCTTTTTCTGTAAAAGACCAAAGAGTAAGCACTCTAGGCTCTATGGACCACTTACTGACGCTTCTGCACAATCTCTTTTCTTTTCTTCTACAACCCTTGAAAAAGGCCAAAACCATTCTTAGCTCCTAAGCCTCACAAAAACAGGCCGGTGGGTGGATTGCGCCCAGGACTGGAGTTTCCCAAGCCTCCAGACACAAGATGAAAATCACGATGGCTCTGCAGGACACATACTTGGGACAAAGTTCTAAAAATAAAATGGGTCAGAAAAGTCAGTTGGTTTTGAGATTTCTATCCTTATTATTCACAATGACCTATGATGTTCGGCCACACTGAAAATTTAGAAATAAGCATCTATGAATATCTGTGGCAAATATGAAATCTTCTGAGCCCCAGAAAATGACGTCATTATGAAGAGTGAAAATGAACTAGTCAAATGTATATATCACTACAAGCCTAAGAACCTATTTTTTTCCTTCACACAAAAGTCACCAAACATTTTTTAGTTCATGCAGGTATCATTCATTGACTTATGAATCGCTGATGAAGAGTTCAGAGTCTTCTGCAGGGAGGTGAGCCAATCTGTCCTTGATCCTGACAAACTTGAAGCCCTTAGTTTTACTCAAAGAATCATTGTGAAAACAGTTAAGACCACGGTATTCAAGAACTTCTTTTTTTTTTTTTTTAAAGATTTTTATTGGGGAATCAGAACAGTGCTGGGGATTTGGGGGAAGGGGAACAGACAAGTTGCTGTCGTTTTGTTCTTCAGTCTAGTTGTGGAGGACGTTGCTTCACTGGCCCAAGTTGGTACCATCATTG